TTAAAACACAAGCTATTTTCTATAAAGGGATCATAATAACACTTGGCCACACAGAGAGTTTGATGTATAAAATACAAAGCTTAGCAAAAGTACATGTGTAACATAGTATGTTTACTCTCATCACCTCATATCCAGACAACCACGCTGCGAACTGTGCGCAAGGCAACCATGAGTACAGTGGCAACTCAGACGACAGTATAATACCGCTCCATTGGTAAGTCGACCTAAAGGTTGGAAAATTCCCGTATGAAGCATAAAATGTACAATAGGTTTATTTTTTTAAATTTTATTTTCTTCAAGGGTCCCTAAAAGAAGAGACATTAAATGAGGGGTGGGCATACAAGACATGGGTAAAGGCAAAGTTGGATGTGCAAAAAAAAAAACAAAAAAACAAAAACAATAAGACATAGCTGAATCGGTAGAAACAAGGGGGAACAGGTACATTTTTTGTGGACTGTGGATTGAAAACATTTTACAGTGACAAAACATACCACTTTATAAGGTAAGGTACAAAACATTGCCAAGTAAACAAAATATATATACACACCATACTAGGAAGATGGCACTAGAACAAAAAGTTAGGCACGATAGAAAGTTACCTGGAAATTCTCACAGTTAAGTTTTGGTTGACAGGGAATTTTTAAAAGCTTCTGCATCCTCAATGCTAACAATGATATCCGGTAGGGCGTTCCACTCCTTAGCTGTACGAATGAAGAAAGATTCGGCAAATGTGGTAGTTTTGGGACGAGGGTAATATACTTGCATAGTGTTGCTACAACGATCAGAGAAATAGGGGCGTTTGGGGACGTAAATGCTGGATGGGAATGCGTGAAAGAATTTCTGGAATAACGCGAGCCGCGCAGTTTTTTGGCGTTGACTAAGAGCAATGAATGCGGCACGTTTCTTTAGGTCTGTTACACTGACGAACGATGAGTAATCGGAAAAGGCAAATATGGCAGCGCGGTTATGCCACATTGTGTCTTATATAAGTGTATCTTTAAAAGGAGTTCGACTGCATAAGTAGCGTTTACAAATCCTCTTTATTGACATTAGAGAGACAAGAGGATGTTTATGACAACAGCAGTGAGCTGTTCACTTACAGGATTCACCCCCAAGCTCGTAAACGAATAAAACTACTTAGTGGGAAATAATACATGATTATGAACGATGGGGCATGAACATAATAGAAGACGTTTTCTTTATTTGATTGTATCATAACCATCCCATCTATGCAGGTGGAAATGACTCTGAAGGTGTCCGTTTCCACCTACACACAAACAGAAGCTGCGTTCACCACAGAATCTGCTGTGCAGACACAGTGCGGTGCTTCATCACATGAAGCAGCAATATCAGCTTCAGCTGATGCTGCCTCAAGCCACAGCTTCAGCAGGTTTCCGGTCTCTCGGTGGCTCAACACCTGTCCGAATGGATGAATCTTTCTCCGCTGAGAAAGAAAAGCCAGCTTTTGTAATATATCTCGAGATGGCTGAATCTTTCCCTGCTGATGTAGAAGAGCCAGCTGCTGATGATCGAATGGACGCATCTTTCCCTGATGAAAAAGAAGAGCCAGCTGCTGAATATGGCATTACATACTTGCCCTCATTCAGCGAGATTTTCCGCAGGTATTACAGGCATTAGTTTTTGGTGGACTACCAACAAAGTTTAACTCTTTGCCAATACCAGATGCTTAGCAATTCAGTGATCTTTAACATGTAATGGACATGTAGTCACAAACTACTTCACATACTGAAACCACCGCTTGACAAGTTGTTCTATTGGGTTGTGTCTGCCCTTTCGTATTTGCAACAAAGGAAGTAGACACCATACGTTCCCTAAAACATTTTTCCTCAGAGTAGTAGTTCATGACAATTCACGTATCTGTGCCAGAACACAAATGGTCCATCCGGCAGTGCACGCTTATTTTCCCTACCTATGTGTTTCAAAACTATGAATGTCAAGAGGCAGTTATATTCTTCTGAAAAGCCTGCCGAGGCACTTCCATGACATACAGGACAACCTGCAGATTTTGTAATAACGTACATAAGAGATTACACAATCGAATGCAGATCCATAGCTAGAATTTTTTGAAGGGGTGGCCCACCTGCTGAGAGCATTTTAAAACCCGTATTTTCATTATTCATTCTCGGTAGAGCACACCCCTCCATCCCAATTCCAAGGAGAGTGGGGCAGGCCTCTACGGCACCCTTCTGGCCACGGGCCTCGTTGAACACCTTTACAAGTGACATGCACTGGGGAACAATGGAAAAATCATGTGAGTTTTCTTATCATCCCTATTTCAAAGTAGGCACACCGGTCTGTATTATGCCACATTGTCTCTTATATGAGTGTATCTTATAAAGGAGTTCGACTGCATAAGTAGCGTATACAAATCGTTTTAATTGACCTTGGCTAGACAAGAGGATGTTTATGACAACAGCAGTGAAAAATGTTGGTGCTCATTTGCGGTCATGATGCTCTATAATGCAGTACTGTTTTTAGATGTTGTCACAACCTCTAGCAAGATAAGGAAGATAATAAGAGGCCATGTTTCCTTTCAGTGAGTACGCTTAGGCCCAGCTGCAAGACTAGCACTGCAATAATGCCCAACTAGAATGCAGCCCTGCCGAAAGCAGTAAAGCTTATTTACCATGAAAGCACAGGGTGGTTCGTGATAAACGCTTTCTTTTATTATAAGCACATATTGCACAAGCTTTCATGTGTTCAACAAATAAGAAGGGGCACACTGACACGTGTGTACAACTGCATTCTGCGCAGCATGTATGATGTGCCCCCACCTACCAAAGCAGCCGCACAGTGCGCACAAAGAAACAACAAAATGATTTCATGTGACACTATTTACACATTATTTGGGCTCTAATAGATAAACTTATTTTGTAAAAGAAATTGCCAGTCACTATACATAACACTTTCAAGCAATCCTAGACTTAGCTAATGGAGTGACTGTTTTGTGATACACAGCATACTTTTGCCACATTTCTCGCTAATATTAAAGTGGAGAGCACCAATTACGTTTGCTCAGCTGGTTGCGAAGAGATGGGCCTAAAAGGTTCATACAATGGTTAACTGAAGCTGCGTGAGCATTCTGCTACAACACCATGTAACAATGAGCACCATAAATTTAGGTATTCATCTTGCATCATGACTGCTCAAAGCTACTAGCTTTCTAGCAGTGCTTTTTCACCTGATCCATTGAGCATGCAACTGTCACTAGTGTACCATTGAGCTGTAGGAAATTGTCAACAGTATAGTTGAATTATTCACTGCAAAGACACTACCTATATCGTCCACTTGAATTTTCTCTAGTGCACTGATAATCAGTAACACTAAGAAGTATTTAGAAAAGTTGAGTTAATTGAGACCATAAGTAATAAAAAAAATGTAGTGGTATCTTTGGAGGTGAAGTGATGCCTGCAGATGCGTGGATGCTGGCACTTATTTGATATCCCCGTGCTCACTCTACTGATTGACCTCAGCAACTCCTCTCGAAGGTTGCCTGGCATTAGCACTGGTCCCTAGATTTGTTGCAAGGTGAAATGCAAGAAGTACAGTCCGTGTGGTTTAAATAGATACTAAAAAGTATTTCTTTACTCGTGTCAGTTGAAAAAAATAGGGACCAAAGAAAACCTCGCCTCAATGGGGCTGGCTTTTTGTATATACTTTCTCTCTCATTGAGCAATGCTCCCTCTTCGATATTTCCTTCACCGACATGCTAAGCAACACAACACTTGCTACAGACAATATAATCATTGAGGCAAGAACCTCTTCACAGTTACATTACAATTACTTTAATGACATACCCTATACTTTCTAATTGTCAGTCAGTTCTCAATAATGATGTCTAACAAAGAAAATAAACTCTTAAATTTAGACCCTTTTTTCATTCATAGCGAGGGTCTCGTTCTGGCCGACCTAATGCCTTCAGGTAGTATGACAGAAAATATTGGTCAGCTGCCAGCTTGTAGAAACATCACCTAATACATAACGCCTACAGGCAAAATAGAGTGACCCACACTCGCTGCAATGCCAACAGGCAGCGCTGACTGACACTTCCACATTTAAAAGGACATATATATTCCTTAAAGTGAATGGTGGAATAGCCGCCATGGTAGCTTAGTTGGTTGAGCGTCAGACTCGTCATTCGAACATAGGTTCGGTTCCTGTCAACGGCAAAGTATCTTTTCGTGCACTATTCTTTCTTAACAGTTGCATACAATTACTTTATTAACATCCCCTATACATTCCTTGGCATAATTGTCCGCCAGTTATCACTAACGTAACCAAGCCGTATTAATGAGAAATAACAAACAATAGTGCCAAAGAAAGTAATGTGGATGTTATTAGTTGTAAATGTATTGTAAATGCGAAGAAATAAAGGTGGACTAAAAGATTGCTTGTCGTGAGCTTGGAATAAGGCTGTGAACATCGAAGAACACATCCAATCTCTACTAACTAAGCTATCGCTGCGGACAATCTCTCGTCCACTTTTAGGGGGACATACGTGATGAGGGAGTGGCCGCCGTGGTTTCTCAGTTGTAAGAGTATCGGATGCATCATGCGACCATCGCAGGCACAGTCCCATCTCCTGGCAAGCAATCTTTTCGTCCACGTTTACTTCTTCACATTTACATTACATTTACTGTAATGATTATCCCCTATACTTTTCATGGCATTATAGTTCGTTAGTTCTCAATAATATGTCCAATAAATAAAAATGAAGCCTTGAAATTTTCACTTTGTTCTTTCAACCGAGTCATCTGACTTGTCCATTTTGCAATACTGAGTCATACACAAGCACTAACATGTTTTGTGAGGTCATTCATCCGCAGTTCCGATCAAAACAACAGCACTGCAGTTCTAACGCTGCAAGAGCTTCTCCACAGGGAACGAAACTTCATTGTGTTTGAGAGCTCCCTTCGTTAACTGCTCGCTCACTGCTCCGTATGTGGCCAACCAGTTGGCAACCTGAACTTTAGCGTCATGGGACCTCAAGTCGTTGTAGAGGGTGTGTGCGATCAACAGCACAAGCTCCACTGGTGAAGCCAGCCACTTGTTCGCGGTAGTGGAACTGAAGCCGGCAACTTCCTTCTGGCTGCTCTCATGCTCTTCTCCGGCTGCGGGGTGGCTGCAACCATCCGATGCCTCCAGTCCATTGATGTCCAGACCATCACGGAGCGTACCTTCTACAACTTGCTCTCTGCAGTAAAACAGGTGCACTTATTGATCAACACCTGAGTATAACTATAGCAAAGCTTCTAGACATAATCGGCAGAGTGAACACAAATGCTTGTACTACTCCTGCATTACAAGTGAATCTTATGTTTTCGATCATAATGTTGCCATAGATTTACACATTGAAAAGCAAAGCATTTGCTTCCATCTCTATATATATTGGTCAATGTTATCTAAATTCAGAGCATAAAATTATTTTGTATGAACGTCTACAAAACTAGCCCATCTGATTTTATGGTTGCGATGCGAAAGAGAAGCTGAAAATTTTTGCATGCTAATGTTTAAACTAAGAAACCAGTCATCTGGAAATATCGTAGTTTTACAGAGTTTTAGCACGCTGCCTTCTTTATCCTACTGTGTAAAGCGAATACTCATGATTGAATTGAGTTTGAGTTGATGAATCGGTACCGTGGAGGTAGAATTCTTATTATTTGATAAATTTTTACCATGGAGGTGGAAGCTTTAGTTCTAAGCCTTCTCGTCTTGACTAATAGGTAAAAACAAAAAGGATTTTTTGTAAACTTGAAAGAAGAGCAATGACGTTCAGTATATATATATATATATATATATATATATATATATATATATATATATATATATATATATATATATATATATATATATATAAGGAGGGGCGGCAGTTGTTTGAAGTCCGCAGTATCAAAATGGTGCGCATGACGCGAGCGAGAGAGAGAGAGAGAATAAAACATTCATTTGTGACCGAAGAAAGAGTGTCGGTGGGTAGGCTCCTTAATCCGGGATTCTATTGGCACGGGCCGCTGTCTTCACTCGTCTCGCGAGGACCTCCTTGGTCTTCAGATTCGAGCTGGACAGAGCTGCTTGTCACCCTACAGCGTTGTGCTGTGCTCTGGGTTGTAAAGGTGGATTGTGTGGGCACTCCCATACCATGTGGTACAGAAGAATGTTTTAGTGACGCAGAACCTGCACTGTGGTGCGCATGTGTCAGGATCTATCTTGGACAGTATGTATCGATTGGGGTAAGACAAGGTCTGCAGGCGACGCCACGCTACCCGAGATTTTTAACTGAGCTCTGGCCCCGGGGGTGGAAGTTTACGTCTTTCGAGTCTTTGATGTTATAGACTATCTGTGTATGTTAGGAACGGGTCCATACGCATAGCCAAGGGTGGGTGCGATATGCCGTAGTCGGAGGTCCGGAAGAGTAATTCTCGGGCCGAGGCATGGGCGAGCTCGTTGCCTCTAGCTCCGCAGTGGCTGGGTATCCATATCAGCTGTTTTCATTCACCCTCTGAGCGTGAGGACGAGAGTTGTGTAAGAGGTCGATGCGCAATGGGGCCAATGTAGCCTTTACAAAAATTTCAGTAGGCTGCTTTTGAATCTGTTAGAACGAAAGTGGACCTTGGGTTTTGTAGGGCGAGGGCGATTCCTGCTTCTTCCATACTAGTTGTGTCTGTGTTCAGCGCTGATATACAGTCAACCTGTTTTCCACAATGAATGACGCTTGCTGTATATTTGCCGTTCACTGGTCAAGCTGCATCGACAAACAAGGCGCCCTCAGTATCAGAGTAGTTGTGAACTTTTGTCCGTGCCCGGCGTCGATGCTCGTGGAACTGAGGATGCATGTTGCGTGGAAGTGGTTTGATGATGATGTCCTACCTCCACTCATGTTGTTTTCCCCTTCTCTCAATGGGGGCTTCGATGCCAAGTTCTGATAGAGTTTTCTGGCCTTTTTTAGTGATGGCGAGGTGCATGACTTGATTCGTGTGGTGTGCATAGAATAGTTTTGATACGGTATTGTGGAGCCCCATTTGAAGCAGACGTTCCGTGAGGGTCCGAGGGAGAAGGTTCAGAGCATTCTTGAGAGTCACACGTATCATTAATATGATTATTTATTTTACCGTCAGGGTACGCAGTACAATTCAGAGGGGAAAGGCATGCACAACAATAAAAAAACAAGGAATACAAAGCAAATGGCATAAAATCGTTGTCACCAATTGGGGTACAAAGATTATTAATCCTAACAACTCACATCATAATAAAGCAAATGATAACACTAATTTTATTTTCATTACGTGGTGAAGGCACAAAGAAATACAAATAAACTGTTCAACAAACATACAGGTGGTAATTAGGTAATCATTGTTTTAAGGACATTCTTAAATTGAATGGATTCATTGATGCTTGTTATTGATGCAGGCAGGGAATTCTATTCATTACAAGTTCTTGGGAGTTATGATTGGGCTTATGTTACTGTGTTGCAATGGGGTACTGTGACTTTTTGTTGGTGATTACGGCGAAGAGAAATGAAGGGAGCAGCTAGGATTAAACAAGAACGGAGTTTCGGATTATGATAGAATATTTTATGAAACAAGCAAATGCGAGTGCGCTTTCGGCGGGTAACTAGTGGGATGAGGTTAGAGATGCCTTCATTTGAGTGACACTAGCTGAACGATGGTAGTTAGCCAAAATGAAACGAGCTGCACGATTTTGAACGGGTTACAACATGTGTGATAATGTTACCTGACCGGAGTCCCAAACAGATGAAGCGTATTCCATTTGAGGACGGACGTATGTGGTATATAGAAATAACTTTAGTTACGATGGAGCAAGAAAGAAGTTTGTTCGAAGGTAACCCAGCGTTTTATTAGCTTTGGACGCCATATGTTCTGTATGTAATTTCCAGGACAAAGTGTTAGTGATGTGGACGCCGAAGCACCGGTAAGATGTTACAGATTCAAGGGGGTTGATTGATTGATATGTGGGGTTTAACGTCCCAAAACCACTATATGAATATGAGAGACGCCGTAGTGGAGGGCTCCGGAAATTTAGACCACCTGGGGTTCTTTAACGTGCACCCAAATCTGAGCACACGGCAGATTCAAGGGGGTGACTGTGAAGAAAGTAAGTTGGACAAGTTGTACTCGACCGAGAAATCCTCATAGACTTGCATTTTTTAATGTTTAGTTCCATTTTCCAAATATGACACCAATGAAGTATGTTATTGAGATCAGCCTGCAGAGAATGGATATCATTGTCATTAGATATTTTACAGTAAATCACACAGTCGTCAGCGAACAAACAAATTTTGGAAGTAACAGTAGAAGGTAAGTCATTTATATAGATTAGGAATAGCAGGGGGCCAAGTACTGATTCTTGAGGAACCCCAGAATCAACCGGTGCAGTGGAAGAATTAACATCGTTAGTGCTGACAAATTGAACACAAGAAGAAAGGAATGCACGAATCCAGTTAAAAACTGCAGGGTCCATTTTTAGAACACTTAGTTTATATAAGAGCAGGGAATGATTAACTTTATGAAACGCTTTAGCAAAGTCAAGAATTATACAGTCAGTGAAAGAAGCAGAGTCCAAAGATAAATGCAAATCATTAGTAAAAGAAATTAGTTCAGTATCACAAGAAAAAATCTTTCGAAAGCCATGCTGAGTTGAAGAGAAGAAGCTATTATCCTCTAGAAAATTAACAAGATGAGAAAATATTATATGCTTCATTATTTTGCATAGTACACATGTGAGGGATGACGTATGACTCTGTCTATTTGGCGCTTGTCTCCTTTCAAGATCCTCAGGTAAGGAAAGCTATAGGTTTTGCGGCTGAAAACAGATGCCTGAATAAGTCGCATTATGTCGTGTTCTTTCATACCTCGTCATCGGTTAGCCACCCGACTAATCATACGAGAGATTTGTAGCGTCCTGTATATGTAGCGTCCTGTATAATGCTTATAACATACTTTAGGCCCCGTCATGACTACCAGGAAGGGTAGGTGGTACTGGCTGCAGTGTCTTAGAGAAAGGCACGCGCAAATCAAAAATGACTATAGGACGCCGGCCGCCAGCGAGTGTAGCATTAACACAAAACACAAGAGCCACACGATCGCTGCGCAGCCTCACGCCCAGCCTTAGTACATGTTTTAGAGACAGTGCAAGAGACCTAATTATGAAAAAAAACAACCATAATATGTACCTACTTAGGAGCCTTATTTTATAACCGCGTGCAACCGAGGCGTATCGCTGAAGGTAGCCCTGGACTGCAGGGAAAACACTAATTGCCTGATGCCTGTGACGTCAATACGACGCTGCTACTAGGAGAAGCACTCAAAAGACCTTATGTGAAAAAAAATAAAGTAAAGGTGAAATAATGAAAAGAAGCAAAAGGAACAGATGTTAGAGGATAGTCCTCTTATGTATCGATAGAACAGTCCTCATATATCGGAGCAGGGCTCACCAGCCGACGTGGTCCGCACGGGGCCCAAACCTGCGCCTTAGTCAACACGCATCATGCAGCCGCGATCTCAACAAGTTGAATAAAAAAACGACTGTACAAGACAGAGAAATGCACTAGGTATTTAAGCCAACGTGCGGACCTTAACGCCGCCAGGAGAGTGTGAAAAAATAGGAGAACTTTGGCAAAGTATAATAGAATAAGCTAGCGGTGAACTTGGCAAGGGCGCGCCGCAGGTACCTGACGTGGGATTGTAAGGAATGAGTGACCTTAGTGCGTCATATGCACACCCCAGTGACAAGGCGGATAAAGGGGGAAAAATTCTTGTGTTGAACTAGAAGCAAAAAGAAAGAAAAAACAAGAAGAAAGCTAATTATCGCTCACAAAATGCAGCGCATGCGAAAAAAGTAAGTCTACGGAGGGGTAGAAATAAAGCTACTCGAAGAGACTAATAGACAAAAACAAAAAAAAAATTTGTAAACTTGAAAGAAGTGAAATGACGTTAAGTATATATAAAAAATGGAAAGGCGGTAGTTGTTTGAAATCCGCAGTATCACAAGAGTGCACATGACGCAAGACCATGGATGGATGGATGGATGAGGCTGTACCCTTTATATCGGGTGGTGACTAGCGCCACAAAGCCGTAATACTTAATGAACCAAAACTTAGATTTATTTTTTTTTCCTTTAAATAGTGAGGTTGATGATTCGTACTTTGCAGTGAAGGGTTCAATTTTCATTCGTGCCTTGACTTTAGCGACCAA